CAAATAATTTAACCACTGGTTCTCTGCCATAATGACTGGTTGGGTGGTCATGTGACTGCGTGGGCATGGCCAACTTGATTGGTTTTACTCTTAGGAAATTTCTCCTTAGTCCATTTCACAATAAAATAGCACAATAAAACAACAGTGTTCCAATATTTAGAATAGAACAGAACAGAACAGTGAAGCCTTATGAGAAAAATATATATAATTTCTAGGATCCTAATCTTACAGAGACCTAGCACTTATGGCAAATTATGATAAGGCTATAGTGAAGACTGACTGACAATATGTAAGATGTGTCTTGCATTTTTGCTATGTTTTAGCTTCTATCTTAAATTACAATTAGTTTTAAATTTGCTTTGTTATAAAAAAAATAATTACCTTCATTGTAATTATCTATACATTTAATCCAATTTGGAATATTTTTTTTGTAGACAAGCATCAACTGGATAAAGCCACAATTAGACTTAATTTTGTCTTGGAGATCTTTCTGCCACAAATAATAGGTATATAATTGTTCTTGAAAACTAGTTCTTGTAATAAAAAGGTATGAAAATCTCTGCCCAAACCATTTCTGCTGTTATTGATAAAGAGGCAGGGAGGGAGGAAGAACAGTAGAAATAAACAATTTCTCAATCCTCTTAATTCACCTATAAAAAAATTAAATCATTCTTTCAAGTATATGAAATTTGGCCAGCTGTTTTATTTTTAATCTGTGTTTCTACTTAACATGTTTTAATTCAAGCTTTAAAAATTAACATTTAAAAGTGTTTGCTGTCAGGGAAAGCATTGCAACTGCATTTTCATAACATTTGAACAGATTAAGGGATAAAGTGTACTGAAGACAATGAAAGCACCTTATAAAATGAGCATTTCACATAGACATATTGGAGATTGCAATTAAGCTCTGCTAACAAATCTTAATTCATTTGCATGGCTGCAACCTAATCCTCATGAAACTTTATGGTAGAAAAGTAGAATGCTTTTACTCTTGAAAAATATTTCCTTGCTAGAAAAGACTGGGCCTCTATGGCAAAGTCTGATACTTCATGGAAAAGCATGGGTCATACAAGCAAGGCATATTCCTGTTTAGATAAAAACCAGACTATATGCTGGTAAATAAACATTGTAAAGCAAGTCTGCTTGAAAATATTTGCATCTGCTTTTTCTTCAGAGACACATTACAGAATGGAATTGAGATATGCTAATGAAACTGCATTTGTTAGGAAGGATCACATCTGATCCCTAAGAAACACCAATGGAGATTCATCAGCTACAATTTATTAAACTGAAAAAAAGTAAAGAGAAACAAAAATGTAAGTCAATAAATTAAACCCTCGACTAATTTCAAAGCCAACACATAAACCATCAGACTACACAACTTGAGACAAGTGTCAACAAATGCAACCCAATTTTCTAATATTTTGTATCTTGCTATTCTACCAAATGTTGGGATTTAGAGGCAACCAGTTATGGAGGACACCTTCTAAAAGTCCACCATGCATAGTTGGTGAGATTGTGCTTGATGGGTCACTAGTTTTCAGGGTGAATATAAAATATCTGACAAATAACTATGAACATTTGGATGCCACATATTTAGATTATTAGATAACTGGGCAACCAGTTATCTGAAGCAGAAAGCTGTTCAAGTGATTACATGGACTGAGCTTTGGCAAGAGAATAATGTGACTTCACATATTAATTTTATATTGATTAATAAGATCTAAATAAATAATTAAAATGGTTTACACTTCACTTCAATATATATTCTCCCATACTAAAGGGATTACCATAGTTACCAGTTTCAGAGGGGGGGTGTTGTTTGACATATAACAAGCTTATTAAGGAGGGTTTATTATGAGCAGTAATTTACAAGATTCCTTGCAGTTTTGTGGCTTTGACATAATATGGTAAAATAATATTCCTTTTTCTCTTTCAATCCTTGGGCACATTTCACTAGTATAGCTAGCATTGAACTACGGGAAAACTCTCATGGACTTGAGGGAGGCTGCCCATTCTACCATGTTGTATTTCCTGACATGTTGTAGGAGAAGAGTAGGGAGAGATGGAAGATGGGGTTATCATCAGTGCACCATCAGTTTAGAGTTCTTGTGTTAGCCCTTATCTAGTGCCAATTTAGTGCTGACTATTAGTTGACTAAATTCTTGTGATTAGACTTGAATAAATCTGCCATGCAGCAACCTAAGAAATGGTCCTGATTCTTTGCATCTGATAAATTCAAGCAGAGGTCCCAACCATGTCTTTTTGAGTTCATCATCTTAAAATGACACATAAGACAATATATGTTTCCATCTTTAAAAAAAGGTTTCTTCCTTTAATTTGCATTATACCTAAAAAACCTGTCCTGTTGGAATTTAATTGATATCTAATTTAATCTACAATGGCAAAAAATGAGAAAAATCCTTTTTTTTTTACTTTTTTTTTGTTGCCAAAGTGAACCCAATTTAAAAATTAGAGAGTGTTCCAAGGTCATACAAAGGAATGCATAAGAACTGAGTTGTCTGCAGTTTGGTGAATGTTTGTTTGTGTGTCTGTGTGCTTTCAAGTTAATGTTGACTCCTGCCAAATGCCTGGACAAGTTTGCAGTTTTCTTGGAAACAATTTTGGAAATGGCTTCCCATAGCCCAATCATTGGCCTGAATAGCAATAGTAGTTAGGTTTAAACTATTATTATTACTGCTTTACAGCACTCTCTGAGTGGTTTACAGAGTAAACCTATTGTCCCCAATAATTTGGGTCCTCATTTTACCTATCTAGGAAGGATGGAGGGTTGAGTCAATCTTGAGCCTTTCAGGATTAAACTCCAGGCTGTGGGCAGAGTTTGCCTGCATTACTGCATTTAACCACTTTGCCACCAGGGTGCTGAAGTCACCCATTTGGCTTCTAAATGAAATCAGAGTAGCCTGGTTTCTAGATCAGTGCCTTTCACCACTGATATTAAACTGACTCTCTCCAAGTTACCGAAAGATAGAATTTAGGCAAATTTTTGTGTAGCAGGATTTCTAATCGCAAGCCAAAAAGCCCTGTCACCTTTTCATTTTACAGGATTTTAACTGGTGGAATAAGGATACAAGAGCAATTTCCACAGTGGTAATTCATATTGCCGTATATCCACTGCTGTGGCAAACCAGCATTAATAAGGATATTTTTCATATTGTGACAGTAACTGCTAGTGACACAAAACAGTAAGGTGGATTTGGAATTTCTGTCATTTCTTACCTGTGATAACTATCAAATCGAGGTTATTTACACCAAAACTGAGTTTTGGGAATAGGTATTACTAGACCATCAATGAATAAAGCAATAGTCACTATATATAGATCTATAGCCTATAATTTGGATTTGTGATTTTTTTTTTGAAAGGTGCCTGAAAATTGGTTTTTATTCTGCTAAGAGAACGTTGTCTCTAGGTCCTTGACTGCTGTAATCAGAAGGAATAAGAAATAAATTGCACCAAGGGATTCCTTCTTTAAATATCATACATTCTGTGACTATAATGGGATGGCATCAATGTGAAATGGCCACCATTCATAATCTCTGCAGATTAGAGGAAATCAGGAAATGAATATCCACCTTCACTGTTTCTTGGATCTTTCTATTTTCTTCCCTCTGTGGAACTGCCCTCATTTGCAGTGGATGAAACCCTTCCATTAGTTCAAAATTGCTGGAACACAACCAGAACATCCAGTATACTGTGGCTGTGCACAGCTGGCACCAAAGAGCCTTTAACTACCTAATTTACATGATCAGTTGTGGTTTAAACATATACTCACTGGTGACTGGGCAAATGTTATGCACAAGGATTTATAAAATGAGATAAAATCAACCTTGCTCTCATAGTCAAAGACTTCCACATACCTGACATGTCCATAAATAAGAAACAATAAGAAATAGTTTCTACTGAGCCATCATTTCAGGCGTAAACCTATTTTTTTTTCCCATTTGAGCATTCCATCACATGGAAGAGAAAGTTCATATAAACTCAGGGAGCATAGAAACCATGTATGTATTTCCATGAAGCAGTATGTTATACACATATAAAGATTTTTCCTACCATTGTAAAGCCCATAAAAAGGATAAAAAGACTCTGTTTATTGGATGTCCTTTGTGTACCATTAAGCACATTAAGCTTTGGATCACGCTCAATATGTGTACATAAACCACATGTACCCTCCTATAAACTAGCTGGAAGAAATCCATTTCTGAAGATTTTTTCCTTCAATAGCTACCAGCTGCCCTGCTCAAGGAAGCTAATGTAAAAGCTTTGTTGCACACACATGTACTATTACTATATATACACATATCAACACCCATCATGTTGAGTTGGGAAGCCAAGCCAACTTGCATACTAATGTTTTTTTCTCCAACTACACTAAAATTTAACCCACAGCTAGATCTGTTCAAACAATTTAGCTGGACAATATAGCTCTGAAAAAACAAGATCATATCCTATGTCTCCTCTGTTCACACTGGGGTGAAAATACTCCTGATAAGTGGAAATTAAACTGTCTGAAACTCTGAAATTTCTTGCAAAATCATTATCACTAATATGAGTGCTGACAATTTGCATACTAGGGTCACCTCTGATATTAATGGTATTGCTTCCTGAGCACGTCCCTCACTTCAAAATCCTCTTTTTTTTTTAATTTCTAGAGGAACTTTGAAGTCCATAGAACACACACACAATGCAGATGCAGTAAAGTCCACAATTGATAGCTTTGTGCATTTTTCTCAATTTCCACAAGGTCTGAGAATTTGTGGAATAGGGTTTTTGATGATCTTACCCTGGTTTATCTTTGACAGTATCTCCTTGTGCATTTGGGAATAGATCATTAGATGATTTCTGTAAAAAAAACTAAAATATTTCTTTGATGTTTAGCATAAACAAAACGATGTAAGGAAGATGAATAGTTTTAAAAAAGGAGAAACATCAACCGATTATTCCATCAGAAGTAAAATCATTTAAGAGAACAACCCACCTTTAATGATTCCCTTTTCTTGCAAAGTTTTCAGAGAAGGTCTTCGAGTGATAAACTTCTTTAATCTGCTCTTAACTTGGCTTGTGTCATTTGTATCAGACTTGCTATAGTTCAGCCTGAAAACTGAAGAAATACCAAATAAGCATTGTAAATTATGTCATTATTTTTTAACACAGAAAGTTTTGCTAGAAATCTGTGGAACATTGGCCTATATCTTCATTCAATACTCTCTGTGTGGTAAGATCTAATTAATATGATTATAAATAAACATTGTGAGCTGAGAATTCTATCAGCAATGGTTCATATTATTGGACAGCCACCAATATATGTGTAAATTTTGAATTCATCCTCAAAGTTCATAACTCTGGCACGCTCAGTCTTCCATTTAAAATTAAAATGTGCTGTTCATGATTTCCTAGACAACTGAAACAGTGGGCTGATAGTGTTGTAGTTTTGGGAGAGACCTGAGGTTATTTACCAAGAATGAGGGGCACATAACTAAGAATGAGACATGAATGAGGGACACATAACTAAGGCCGAATATCAGCAGATAGCCCAAACCTGCAAAGAGGAAATCAGGAAAGCAAAGGCTCAGAATGAACAAAGAAGTGGAAAAAAAGTCAATGATAATAATAAAAAAAGTTTCTTTCAACATATAAATAACAAGAAAAAAGTCAAGGAAACAGTTGGTCCACTAAAAAGAGAAGATGGCAAGGAAGTAAAAGGAGTAGAGAGAAAGCAGAGCTGCTTAACTCTTTCTTTGCATCAATCTTCATGCAAAAACAAACTATACCCCAACCTACCAAACACATAAACTGTAAAAGACAGACCAGAAATTAAAATTAAAATAAGCAAGAAAATGATAAGAGAACAGTTGCCTGATCTCGATGAATATAAATCATCAAGAGTTCTGAAGGAGCTGGCAAATTTTATCTCAGAGCCAATGTACCATATTTTTTTAAAATCCTGGGGAACTACCAGAGATTTGGAAAAGAGCTGACCTAGGAAACTACAGACCAATCAGTCTAACATCAATACCTGGGAAGGCACAGGGGGGAAAAATATCACAAAACAGATTTGTGAACGTCTAGAAACAAATGAAGTTATAACTAGTAGCCAGGACAGGCGTGTTAAAAACATATCATGCAAACCAATCTTATTTTATTCTTTGACAGAGTAACGGTCGAGTACAGTAGCAAAATGCTGTGGGCATAGGTTGACATGATAGCAGTGTTGCAATATCTAAGGGGCTGCCACAAAGAAGTGGGAGGGCATCCTATTCTCCAAACACCTGAAAGCAGAACAAGAAGCAATGGATGGAAACTAATCAAGGATACCTTGATTACCTAGAATTATGGAGGAATTTTCTGACAGATGAAAAATCAATCAATGGAACGTCTTGCCTCCAGAATTTGTGGGTACTCCAAAATTAGAGATTTTTAAGAAGAGAATGGACAGTCAATTGTCTGAAATGGTATGGGGTTTCCTGCTTGAGCAGGAGGTTAGATTAGAAAACCTCCAATCTCTCTGCCAACTCTATTATTCTATTATTCTGGAGATATTCTTTCTTCGTGTACATATTAATAAACATTTAAACTGATAATATTTAGTTCTTTGACAAAAAGAGTAAACATAAGAAAGGAACATTATGAAGCTACCATATCCAAGATGCTTAAGAGAAATCATAGCCTTAAACTAGCAAAAAAGGAAAGTAAAAACTCTTTTCTACACTAGATAATTATAATAAAAAGAGAAAAGGGCATATCTAAATAATCCAAATTTTATGAATCCAAAAAGCATAATCTTATTCAGAGTCTTCTAAAGTTTTCCATCAACTTTTGTTAACCACTCTTGATTGCAATCTGTAAAAACTCTGTTTTCGTTATGCTTTGGGTAGTGATGATGCTAGTAAAAATAACACAAGATGTAATAAATTTAGAAACAAAACTTGCAATGTATTATACATCTTTTTAAAAAAGAAAAGAAAGTGTATTTTTTTGAGAGAAGAAACATGGAACAGGATATTCAAATATGCCCATTCTTATAAATGAGGCAAATTCAAGAAGCCTATTTAGAAACATGAAAAATGAAAGGTACCCTGCTTATGTTATAACTTTGAAAGGAAGAACCAAAATAGCATACACACATACACACACACGAAAGTTTTTTTCACTTTGCTAGGGGTTTTATCTTTAGGGATAAAAATGTGCCACATTTTTTTCGTTTAAATAAATACAGTATAGCCAATTAAGGGAAACAACATTTAACTACATGCCTATGATAATCACAGCATATTTTGCTTCTGATTTCACTGCTGATTTGAACAGAGGGGTAGTCCATTTTCCCACAGCATTGGACTGACCCCACGCATATTTCTGCATGTTAGTAATCACAAAGGACATATAAAAGGACACTTTTTACTGGAACACTCACAGCATGGGACAATAATCCATTACATAGGAAAAAATAAATAAAAGCCCCATTTTTAATGATAGCATTCTTAGGATGATATATCATACAGAGGTTAGTGTCCTGTGAATGGCTGGCTCTTTTGTTCATGAATTCTATTTTAAAACCTCTGGGTTCAAATGGGAACAACTCTTGGCAGTAATATGCAAAAATTCCAAGGAACTCAACTGTACGGCATAAAGTGAGACACATCAACATTTCTTGTCCTGGCTACAAACTTGATGGGATATGGGTATTATGTAGAATTATTTCTTCAGTGTTTAATGGCTATGTTCTCTCTGTACTTACTTATCCATTTGCACATATTCAGATCTAAATGAAGCACATTAAGATGAATTTCAAAACATTTAACTTTGGTTGGGCAGAGCCTACCTCATAATTTTCCTGAACAGTCAGTTGTACTGTTTCACATCTACTTATCAGTTCAGGTTTAACAAGATTCCATATAATAGGATAACTACACTATAAAGATTCACCAAGTATTTCAGTATGGAGTTTCTCCATCTACATCAGGGGTGTCAAACTCGGGTCGTCATAGCGTCATCACGTGACATATCACATCTTTCCCTTCCTTCGCTAAACCAGGCATGGGCGTGGCCAGTGGGTGAAACATCTGGCCCACAGGCCGTGAGTTTAACAGCTCTGATCTATATCCTCCCCACTCATGGGTGTGACATGAAGATCATCTGTACCTTAAATTGAATATTAGGTTTGCATCAGTGGTGAGTTCTTATTGGTTCGGCCCAGTTTGGCTGAACCGGTAGTGGTTTGGCGGCCTGGGTCACTGGAAATGGCAGCAACCCAGGCCTGCCACACCCCCGAACCAGTTCTCCGGGCAGCGCCAAAGGCATCAACATCTTCTTTTTCGCTTCTGCACATGCACAAAACATTTTATTGCATTGCGCATGCATGCACAGCATGCAGCAAGTGCACATGGGCGGCCAAAGCACTTGGGGTGCACACACAAGCAAACTGACAGTTGTGCCCACTGGAACTCACCCCTCGTTTGCATCTAATGCCAAGTTCCATAAATATCTAATTCTCCTGAGTGAGCGAGGAAGATTATTAATTTGGATAGACCTTAGACTTTTTAAAAAGAAGAAATATCCTATTCATATTGGGGTGGGAAGTACTGAAATTATGATTCTATCTGTTTTACTGAATATGCCACACAGATAGTCCTCAGCTTACAACCATTCATTTAGTGACCATTTGAAGTTATAACCACACTGAAAAAAAGTGACTTATGGCCGTTGCAGCATCCCTGTGGTCACAGGATTAACATTTGGAAGCTTGGCAACTGCTGTATGTTTATAGTGGTTGCAATATCCTGCAATGTTGAAAAAAATACCTTTTGCAACCTTCTGACAAGCAAAGTCAACAGAAGCCAGAATTACTTAACATCTGTGTTAGTAATTTATCAACTGCACCGATTCACTTAACAACTGTGTGGCAAGTAACATTCACTTAACAATGGTCTTATTTAGCAATGGAAATTTTGGGCTCACTTGTGGTCATAAGTCAAGGATTGCCCATAGTATAATTTCACTTATGGCCTGTTTCACATTTTATACAAATGTATAATTAGTTTTGAATTCAACCCTAAAACATCAAATTCTGACCTCAAAATAGCAGTTCTTTCTGACATAGGAACCATTCTGATCTTACTGGTTGTTATTTTTTTGGCCTCAAAACAGGTTATTCTATCAAACAAAGATCAAAATAATCCATTTTGAAATCAGCTTCTAGTAAGAACAGCCCATATTTACATTAGAATACTAAAAGTAGTATCAGAATATTGATACTACAGTATATTGGAGCATTTTTGAAAACATTAGAAGAGGATGCTAATGGGGTTAGAGTATTATGATGCATGATATGGATTTCATGCTACACATTCCAGCATTCAACAAATTCTAGCAAAATTCTGTATGGCAATCTGCAGAGATATAAATGCAAAAGTGGGCTTTTAAATATATCTTACAAAATTAGTGAATTTGGCCCTGGACAATTTTAAGAAAGCTTATTATGACGTATATATTCAATTTTTGAACAGCATTACTACCACCTCAGAAAAGCCCTGAAATTAACTTTTTTCTAGATGCTTTTATACAACTTATAGTGCAACAAAGCACAGCTAATGTTTCTACCACAACTGGCCCACAAAGATATATTCATTTTTTCTAAGGCAGGAGTATCAAACTCAAGGTTCTTGGGCCAGTTCCGGCCCATGGGGTGCTTAGATCTGGCCTGCATGGCTGCCCTGAAAACAATGAAGGACTGGCATGCAGTGCCTCTGTCAGAGAAAATGGAGCACAGGGAGGCCATGTGCGGCCTGCCCAGGCTCCGTTTTCAGCCGTGAGGGGCCTCCTGCAGCCCTCTGCCAGCAAAAACAGGGCCAGTGACATTGAGCTAGCCACATCCATCCTGGCCACGCCCCTCAGTCCCCCGAGATCAAACACAACCCTGATGCGGCCCTCAATGAAACCAAGTTTGACACCCTGTTTTAAGAATCTTATTAAACTAGTTACCCAGCAAGGCAGGTAGAGAATGGGACAGAGAGCCACAGTTCACCTCAAAATGTTTTGCACACCTCTATCTGTGTTTCTCTGTGACTTAAATCACAGCAATGTGTTACAGAGTAATATTGCACA